AATTAGTGTGAGAGATAAATAAAATAATAGTCATACATAAATATATAGAGTATAAAAGCATGCAAAAATTTAGACTTATCAAACATCGGAATAGAGCATAATCATTTTGAAAGCCAAGTTGGAGTGACCAAAGACCTAGCCAAAGTAGATTTGTCGGCGATCCCGAACATGAGGCTATGACAGCGCCGCATTCCATAGTAAGGCAGCAAGACAGAGCTGAGCCAACTGAAAGTGCAGAGTACACGCAATGAAGAAGGCCAAGGAAGAGAGTCATGACAGTGTTAGTGATCTCTTTGGTACAAGAGGTGTTGACGTGGACAAGGCAAAGGTTAAGCTTGACAAGGAAAGCAGAATTGACAACATAATCGATACAATCATGGTAGAAGATAAGGTGGTAGGAGAGGAGACAACGTTAGGCAGCTATGGTGCTAAGGGAAAGTGTTTGCTCAAAATGTTACCCTAGGAAGGAAGTTTTCCTAACCCAAAACATTTGTATATTTTAAAAAAATACTTTTTCATTTTAAAAATTATATTTATATATATATATATATATATATATATATATATATTTACATTTTAAAATATTATGAAAATATATAAAATGTTTATAGGCTTTTAAATTAAAAAATTATAAATAAAAATTAATAAAATATTGATATTATTAATGATAAATAATTTATTAAATTAAAAACAATAAATTATATAATATACAAATATTTTAACTTAAAAAATAATTATTTAAATTATATCAGTATATGTAGTTTTACAAAATAAAAATTTAAATAAGTAACTTTTTTTTATTTGATATATTAATAAATATTTTAAGTACAACTAATATATCATTAATTAATTAATTTTTAAAATTTAATTTAATTTAATTATTTTTATTCAAATTTGATTGAAAAAATAATTTAAAATTTGTAAAAAAAATTGAAATTTTCAATAATTTTTTCTATGACTTATGAATTTTTTGATAAGAAAATCCATAGAAAATAGCAAAATTCTAGTAGTGGGAGTTCTATTAATATCCTATTTTATGATAATTTTTAGTAGTTTAGTCAAGTATAATATATATATATATTTTAATTTCAATGCCTAAAGCTTTTGAATAATAAAAATGGAAGACATTTCACATTATGATACACAATAGATCTTATGAAGATTTTTAAACGATAGACAAATTGATAATGTCCTTAGAAGATTATTCTCTAATAGACTATATTCACGAGGATATTCAAAAGAATCAAATAATTAAATATTAATAATTTTAAGTTGTAAGGTATTAAAAAAGTCAAATGAGAACACCTCTAACTAAAATAGCATGGGAATTCACTTTAGACCTTTCTAAATCTTAAAAAAGTGACTAAAGTTGAAAAATACTATAAATGTCACCTATGATATAGACTATACAGATAAAAAAAGAAAAAAAATTATTTTCTACACAAAAAAAATTGATGTTTTGCTAAGCTTCTAAAAGCTACTATCAATTCTTTTACTCCCTTTCTCTTCTGTAAAATAGATTTGAACATTGGAGTAAGATTTTTGCTTTTTACTTCAATGAATTATCCACTCTAAGAGGAATTGAAGTCCTATTGTTTCATTTTATCCATTGTAATTTGTATTGATGGTTTCTTCCTAACTTACTAATAAGCGTTGATGTTCGTTGAGTGTGTGATTAAATCCAAAAGAATCATAATTGGCAATTGTACTAAGCGGAATGTAATCAAAACTCTTCAACGTAAGCGTTCATTCTGCTTCACCCAAATAAGCAAATAATCTGAAAGGAATCTCAACTTTTTTTTTTTGGTAACACTAGATTACACTTTATTTTTATACCACTCCATATCCATAAGGAAGTTTTTTTTTTGTTTTTTTTTATCTAATCAAATAAATAAAACAATTCAACTTTTCATTTTTCTTTTAAATAAAAATAAAAAATATTTTTTTTTCTTTTTTTTTCTTACCTTTTATTTTATTTCTTTTATCATACGCTTGATAATTAATATCCAAATGATGATATTCTTAGGAACCGATTAAGGAAATAGTTCATAATTCTTGTAATTTTTTTAAAACTTATGTCTATAAATTTATAATATAATTTATTAATAATTGATTTTTAAATTATTTGAATAAATTTATAGTTAAATTTAATATTATTAATTGCTTAAACTGAGTTTAAAAAAAATAAATTAATATTTAAGATCTGAAAACTAATTGGGAGAGGATGGATGCTCGCTTTTCTATTACGTAGTGGTGTCCCGATCTGTTCAGAGCCACTTGATTTAATGAGATGATGGATGACGTTAACTGATAAGAGTTTTGTGTTATTGTGGACCCGTGTTTGGATCCTGTCAAATGTCAATCTCGAATATCATCACAAGAATACTGGAGAAAAAGTAACCCAGGTCTTTTTCAACAAATTTTCCCATTGCGACAAGACAAATTCGCAGATTCTTCTACATACGTAAATTTCATTTCCATTTTTCACTTTTCGTCCACTAAAATAGAAAAAAAAATAAATCATAGCATTTGAATATTTTATTTTCGTTTTACTGTAATTTAATCATTTTTATCAATCGTAATGATTTTGAATCCTAAAATTATGTTTATTTCAAAGTTTAGTATAATTTTTATTTTATTATTTTTAAATGTATTCAATTATATAATTTATTTATTTTTTTGTATCATTTTCACATAATATAATTTGGTCAAATAAATTAATTTCTCTTAATGTAGTCTGAGGTACATGCAAAAATGGAAAGCACACGCATATTTATTTAGGCCGTCTGGACCACATCCAATAATTAATGAATTAGGATGTGTAAAATATTATAAAAACATTGATTTTTTTTATATCTACAGTTTATTAATTAAAATAAATGTTATTTTAGTTTAATATTATTATAAATTATCAAAATAAAATCTTAAATTTAATTAATAAATAATACAACACTAAGTCAAATATGCCTAAGTTTTGTCTTTATTCAAAATCTCTTCTTTTAATAGTCCAATTATTTTTTAAAAAAAATTAATGGTAAATTTGACCAAATTGACGAATCATTAGTTAAAGGTTGATAAATAAATTAATAGTTAAAAATTAATAAATTATCTAATTAAAATATTTTTAAAACAACTTATGAATTAGTTAACAAATATAAATATTATAAAAATATATTTAATCATTTGACTATAATTTTTAAAATTTATAAATTTTATAAAAAAATAAGATAATATAAATAAATATGTTATAATGTTTGTAATTTTATATTATAAAAACGATATTTAACGAAGAGAGCGTGCTGAATATTTTTAAACATAAATAAAATAAATGAATAATTTCAATAAGACAATAGGGATAAAATAATTAAAAAAATAAATTTTTAAAGGTTACATAAAATATCATGGAAATTGCTCCAGTGCGGAGAGATAAAGGGGCATATGTTGTCCCTTTCAAATGGACAAATAGGTATATTTTATTTATCTAAACTATAATTTTTTTATTAGAGGTTATTTTATTAAACATGATAAAATTCTCCTCCCGAATATTTAATTAATAATTTAATTCCAATATAAAAATATTTGTATATAAATAATACACGTCAACAATTTATTGATTTAATTAACATTTATAGGCCGTAAAAGGATATATCTAAAAATATCATTAACATGGAAGCTTCTAAATCTGTATGAGAAGATTGAACCATATTCCTCTTTTTTCTTTGCACAAGATTTTTTTTTTCTTCTAAAGCTAATAAGTCATCAAATCATTGAACTCATTCTTCTTTTGCTTGGAAGCCATTTCACGTTCCTGATGTTTTAGGAGAAGATGGTTCTACGGAGGTAATTTCTTGTTAAAGGAGAATAATGATGGGCAATGGTTTTGGTGATGCAACAATGGTGTTTGTGCTATGCATAGGCATTCATATGGATGAATTGGAAAAAGAAACAAAGAAGATATAATCTAAAGACATTCATATGCATGAATTGGAAAAAAATAAAAACATGCATGAATTGGTAAAAACAAAAACAAAGATGCAGGGATAGAGATCTAATAAAGACAATAACAATCCTTGTAATTGTCCTTTTATGTAAAAGCATTTTAGCATACTTAAGAAGGACATCATATACCCTCAATTTGCAAGACCCGGTAAATTTTACCAGCTAACATTTTAAAAACGATAGTTATAAATACTCTTTTTATTTTTTATTTTATCGAATAGTGCTATTTTGGTCAAATAATTCTTTACTGGGATTCAAATCTAACTGCTTATATGATAATTTCATTGGAGGGTCATTTCTATAATTTTTTTTTTCCAGCTTAAGATATGCTCTTGATCTTAGTGAGTCTCCAAAACTTAACTCGAACCTTTATTATAAAAATAAATTCCTCAAGTTAATTAAATAACTTAAAAATAATTTATTTACCTTATTATACACACTCATACGCCCTACATGGGAGAATACACTTTGCTGCTCTTTATTTTTTTTCTAATTTCTCTTTCACTTGTACCCAACACAACATTGAATAAATAATTTGGAAAAAATTAAAACAAAAGAGAGATAAATAATCAAAATGCAGCAATAAAATAAAAAAACTAAAATATTAATTTTAAGAAAACTTATTTTAATGTTTTTACACTCTTATTTTGAAGTTTTCAAACTAAACAGAATTTATCAATAATAATTTATGACAATAAAATGAAAATTTTGATTAAAGTTTTACTTTTATCCATACACAATACACTGGGATACATCTCGACCCCGGGAATCTAAAAAGAAAAGAAAAGAAAAGCCTCACACACACGAAGCACATGCTTGGTGAGTCTGAATGGCTTGGCATTGCAATTGTGATAGCAGAAAGTAAACTACAAATCATTGAGGGAACACAATGATAGCAACGAAGTCGAAAACAGAGATGCTTAATGCTGGCACAGAATATCGATAGGGACAAAGATAACGGTGGTTATCGTTATGCGTGCATTTGAATCTAACACGCGTCCCTAGACGTGTCCCTCTTGCGTTCCATTTGCATTTGCATTTGCATTGGATTGCATTGCTTCACTTGATGATGGGGGTTTCGCGGTGCCCATCTCCATGTTTTCCTCTTGTGTTGTTGTTGGCTTCTTTTTATCACCTTTGTTGTCACGGTATATAAAATACAATATCAATTGCATTGCCCCAAATGCAGAGCCCACACCATTTGGTACCTATAATTTATGAGTCTACGTCAGACATATTCCATTTCTATTAATCCAATTAAGATTGATTAATTATCATATCATTGTGTAACTTACAGCCACAAATGGGTCATGGCCTAGCAGACCAAAAATAAACCAGGAAGTTCCACAGAGAAACACAAACAGCGAGAGGAAGAAAGGCATGAACTCCACGCTCTTGGTTCTGATCACCAGTCTCTGCACACACAATTTCAATTTTCACTTCTTCCCAAAAACATAAAATAATAAAAATCTACCAACCAAAATAATGTCTAAGTTCACAATGAACCACACCTCAATGAACCGTAATTATTGCTAAAAAATGGACTGTTTCTTTAACAGCATTCCATGTGCCCTAAAAATTTGTGGACAGCAACCGCAATTTTCATGATAATCATATGATTTTATATTGTACTCGACACATTGACAAATTTATAAACTGAATTTTATAACATATAGCTTAATTTTATATAAAATTTTATTTTTTTAATTAATTAAATTAATTTTTTTATCTAAACAATGATTAGCAGAAAAAGCAACATGAAAAGTATATTGCCAAAATAGGAAAATGAAAAAGGCAGGGGCATGTTGGTCATAGTGACATAATAAGGATATGAGGAAAAGACATAAGTATCTAACAATGAAAGTGTGAACTTAGCTTTACTATAATTGAGAGGGGTGAACATTCAAGGTGTTGGAGAATATCGCAAATTTATAAACTCAAGTTTAGAATGAACTCTACACATAAACAAATATAAACTGAAGTTTATAACATATAGTTTCTTTTTTTCAAAGTAAATCAATGTGAGTAAGTATGTGTTTTAAATAATTTTTATCCAAAATATTCTGTTATTTTTCTTAGTTAATTAAATTAATACTTTAAAGAAAATTTGTAAAATCTAACTTAACAAGAGCGATATTAAATTCTTGCAAACAATAATTAAGAAGAAAGCAGAATGAAAAGTAAATGGCCAAAATAGGAAAAGAAAAAGTGAAAAAGGCAGGGGCATGTTTGCCAGAATAAGATGATGATAAACATGTGAGTTAAAAACATAAGGATTTAATATTGAAAGTGTGAACTTAGCTTACCATAATTGAGAGGGGTGAACCATACATGATGATGGAAAATATCGCGGCAGCGAAGCCGCAGAAGAGCTTTCTGGAATTTCCATGCAGAGCAAAAAGGGACACAAAAACAACGGCAGAGAACACTGCTACTACGAAGGTAAAAAGGCCAAGAATTTTAGCCTTCTCTTTCTTGGGTGCGAACAAGATGAAGATGAAAACGTATATGATTTCTATCACTGCTCCTGTGCCATTAATTATTGTCACAAGTATATTGTGTGGAGACACAAACGGCAAACCGTACCTGTGGATTGTAAAATCAGAAGATGCATTTGAATTATATTACAAAAAATCAAAACTTTCCTGGTGTAGAATTAATCAACCCACCTGAAATTTTCTTTCTCAAACTGAACAAACTAATTAGAAAATAACTAAAATGTACCATGTAGCAAGAAAAAACAGGGTATAATTTCTAAGCCAAGATTTGGCAATTCAAAGGGTGCAACTTGCTTTTAAGGACTTTTCTTAGTCAAAAGTACTATCTACGAATAAATTCTTTTCTGCCCATATGAAATTTACATGAAGGTGATGCAAAATAAAGGGAAATGGAACAAATGACAACAATAACCAAAGCAATGTTGAAAGAAATCACACGTGATTGATTTTGAGTAAAGAAATGAGAGAAATTTACCAAGCAGAAAGGAGACAGTTGAGCAGTGTCATAGGGTAAGGAACGCCTGAGAACTTCTGGGTGGATTTGTTCGCAATGACCCTCTTGAAAGTTATTCTACAAAACCAAATTTCTCATAATTTACACACAAAAATATGGTTTTAGATGCATTATAAAGAATAAACAACGAAGCAAGGTCTTTGGGAATTGAAAAAGACTAGGCAATGAGATGCATACGTTGGGGCCAAAAAGAGGAACAGTCCAGAGGCATTCCCTGCACCGCAGAAAGAACATTGAGAAACCAAGAACCACAGAAAAGAAGGGCGTGCAAAAAACATTATAAGAGAAACCCATTTGTGTAATAACTCACCAAATATCCCGAACAAGAAATGCGCAATATCCATGATCTTGAAACTTGGATATTAGAGAAATATCCTTGAGAGTTGAAGAGAGGAACCAAAGTGCTCTATAGAATAATTTGTCTCTTTAGGAATGGTGGCTCATAACTGGCTACAATGAGGGGCAGTTTGTAGAAGTTATAGGAGGTTTATATATAGGAAAATGGAAGAATTGAAAGGTAACTACTTTTGCAGTAAAATACAGGACATTGTGTTTGATCTTATCCACGGGGAGTCGTGGGGAGAACCGGTTTTTAGCTTCATCGAAAGTGTGTCTTTATATATTAATTGCGCCAAACCCCAAACGTAACACCACCGAAGAATTAACTGGTAGGAGGGAATGTAGTTGTGTTTTCACAGTAGTCTTGTTTGAAGATAACTAGCTCCAACGAAAAATATCAACTGGCGGGAGTTGTTTAACTGGTAGGAGTGAATGTAGTTGTAGTTTTTTATAGTTATTTTATCTAATTCGAAAATAATTAACTTTAACAAAAATAATAGGAGTAGTTTTGAGTTTGAGTTAAGGTGAATAAATGTTTTTTTTAAAAATACCAATAAAACAGCCATAAGATGAAGGTTAAAGCCCAAAATGGCATGCTCTAACGCGTATAATAAAATTCATTCTATACTCCTTTTTTTTTTATATAAATCTTTTTAATCTAATAACATAATATTGTATATCATATAAATCACTTCTAATTTTTTTATTAGTGTGAGTTAGGAAAATTTAAAATAATATAAAAAATAAAACCAACAAAATTTTGTCAAATCTTAAAATATGTGAATGTAAGTTATATTTTTTATTTAATTAAAAATATAACATTCAAATAAATAAATAAAATATTGTATTAAATGTAAGTTAGTTTTTTTTATTTTTTCAAAAATTAAATTAAATATTTTTCATAAATAAAAAAATACTTTTTCTTTTTAATTTCACTCTTAAATATATACCTTAAGGAATAAAAAAAGTACATATCAAATAGTAATGTTTGATTAATATATTAAATTTATGTTAATATATTAATTAATATCTTTTATTATAGAAGTAGACTAACATTTCTTTTGACAAATAAAAGGTTTTCAAGTGCATTACTAAGTACATATTACTTTGATTTAGTTTCTTTTTCATAAAATAAATAAACATTAATTCTTTTTCTATTGGAAAAAGAAAAAAAAAATTGACCTTTTTAGTAAGTAATGAAAAAGAAATTAGTTCTTTAGTTTCAATTTTTTGGTAAAAAAAAAAAGAAAGAATTTCTAATTATTCAATATTTAATCAAATCATACGTAACAATCATTATTACTTTAAACACACTACTGTTTTTCTTGACACAGTTCATTAATTGTTGAGAATCGTATGCATGATAATAACAACAAAATACATAATTCTCAAATGCCCATGTAATTAGTATATCTCAAAGTATGTATATAAGCACTATTTTAGTTTTGTAATTACCCTGTTTTTTGTAAATGTGAAGTCTTAATTGCGCTTTTTTTAAGTATCAACATGAATAGTCAACTAAAGTTCTCTAATGTCACTATACTAGTAGTCGTGATGGAGTGAGTACAGTCAAACATAAATAGACTTATGTTATGATGTTTTTTCATAAAAAGAAAATTTTTGATAAGTGTGGTTCAATATATGGGTTCATTAGTTATATGTATGACCTAAACAAAAAATAATTATAGTCCAACTAGAATCTAACTTCTCTAGTAGACATTTCTAGATGCAACCTTATAAGTTCTTTTAGTACTTTGTTTACAATATTTAAAATTATTTATATATAATATCATGAAAAGTGAGCAACATCTATCAATACATCACTATTTTTAAATATTTAAAATGACATTAAATCAAAATAATCTATTTATGTGATATATATATATATATATATATATATATATATATGTGTGTGTGTGTATAACTTTTTTCAAATAAATATCTCACATTTATCTTTTTGGGCATCACCAAATATTTTACAATCTAACTCTATCAAAGGGCTTTATAAACATTGCTCCTATTATATAAGAGGAACAAATACCATCTAGATCATTATTTGTTGGCAAGTGTACCTGTCAAAAAATAATAAAAAAGTTTTCAATTAAGCTCTCGAAATATTATCCCACAATGATTGTTTTCAAGTACCAATAAAGTCTTAATTTAATTGTTTGTACTTAAGGAACATAGAATTAAATGGAACAATAATTTAAATATAAGAAGAATTTAAAGGAATTAAAATAATGCTACTTCTAACATAATAAACTAATCAAGGAAAACCTAAGGCATATGATTTTACCTTTACACTTATCTATATTTACTTTAGATTAATTCTAGTTTCAATTTCCTTATAATTGTCAACCACTCATACTAAATTTATTAACACCCAATAGTCATGTAATGTTAATATCTTTTTCCCTATGCTATCAACTCCAATGGTCATAAATGAAGAGAAAACAAACAGAGCATGAGCAATAGTTGAATAACGATTAAAAAAAAAGAACTAAGTTTGGTCCACCTAATCATTTGTCTCATTTTATTCTATAGATTCATTAACTATATCTGGTACAATCGCCTACAATATAATTGATTATGATATATTTAAGAGTTATCAATTCTAAATATACAAATATAACACAATAGGATAAATACCAATCAAGAAAAAAAATGAAATTATTATTAATCATAAAGATCTCATAGAGTTATACAAAGAATTTACCATAGCGTTAGTTATAAATTTAGCTAGACATAGTATAATAGAAAATCAAAATAATAATAAACCAATATATAGTTATTCAAAAAGTAAATATAAACTAGAGGAGTCTCTAATGGAGAAGAGACGAAAAAAGCTCTTAATCCTAAGACATGCTTCCAAAGTTCCAGTAGTCGTCATTGATTGGCCAATACTCAAGGTTGAAGATGTCAAATATGTAAAAGAGATGTGTGGTGTGATAGAGATGTGAAGGAGATGCCTAAGTCATTGCCCCTAAAGTTCCTTATATAGGATTAGAGTCTACAAGAGATGATAGTTGTTGTCTCTAAGAGATATGTTTTATCTCTAATAATGATATGATATCTCAATAGAGATATGATTTGTCAATTTAAAATTCAAATTCTCTATTTGCAAATCCTTTAAAAATCTCCTAGTTTGAATCTCTCAAAGGAGAGCACGATTGTGCTACCTATTATGCACGTGCATGGTAAATGAAGCACTTCCATGCTTCCTCATAAGCAAGGTTGTATTGACTGCTCAATGGTAGGGATGGCAATGGGTAAGGTATGGGTAGGGTACTACAGTACCCATCCCCATACCCGCATTTTAAAAAAATACCCGTACCCAGCCCCATACCCGCATGGGTATGAACATTAATCCCCGTACCCGTACCCTCTGGGTACCCGCATACCCGTCTTGTACCCATTACCCGCGCTTGTTTGAGAAAAAAATATTTATAAAGAAAAATATGTTTATATAATTTCACATAAGTAGCATAATAATACAAAAATTCAATATGTAGTTGTCGAACAAGGTACAAATATAGATAAAAAAATAAATATTCAAAGATCATAAATGTTAAATGTATCTTAATATAATAATTTTCTAAATTAAAATTCTTAGAAATAATAAGCAAAACTAAACACACAAGTTATTTGTCAGTGATAATCCTATCTTGTGTGATATTTGATTGATTAGTAATGTCAGAACGATAACGAAATAGATCTGTACAATGGTTGTCCCTTCGTGTGGGATCACTTAGTAACCTCTTGTGACGGCATTAACAACTAACTCTAATATAGTTATTAAGTTTTAGTGAGACAGACATTGAGAATGAGAATAGAGTTAGAGTAGAGAAGTTCAATACTAACAATAGAAAATTGATACATAAAATATTTTTTTTAACTTTTGAATTTCAAATTGTAAGAAAAATAATAGATTTAATTAAAATAATATAATATAATTAATATATATATATATATATATATTAATACTAGTATTTTTTAACTCATATACTATACGAAAGTATTTTATCAAAAATATAAATTTTTAAAAAATTATTTTAGTGAATTAAATATTTCTAATGTATATAAATTTAAAAAAAAAAGAATTTGAATAAAAGATAAATAGTTACAATAAAATTTTATAATAAAGAAATATACGTGTATATTAAAAAAATTATACTTTTTTATCTTAAAAAAATTAACAAATAAAAATTAACAATAATTTTTTATATTTATATCTTTTCAAAAACTTCTTTGAATGTGAATAAATAGTAAGAATAATATTATTTAGATTCAATAAATTATAGTTGTACTTGTAATACATATGTTGCATAGAAAAATATTATTTTAAATTAAAATATAAAAATAAAATTTAAATATTATTAATAAATAATAAGTTTACGGTAATAGTAGGTGATTGTAAAATTTATAAAATATTTATAATATATTTATTATTTATCATTCACTTTATGATTAAAACATCAATATGATTTTATTAACAAAAATATTTGTGTAAAAAATATTTTATGTGTGTCATATATAAATAATATTTTAAAAAAAGTCAATCTCATATTAACTATATAATAATTAAATTGTGTTAGCCAAATTAAATGATATAAAATAGTAAATAAATTTTTCTATTAAAAATATAAACCAAAATAAATTTTTTGGTTTACTTTATTATTAAATATATTTTTATATTAATCTTATATAACTTCACATAAGTAATATAATAATACAAAAATTCAATTCATAATTGTATAATAAAGTTCAAGCATATATATATATATATATGCGGGTATGGGGCGGGGTGGGTACTTAGATACCCATACCCGCACCCATCTCCATTAAAATTTGTGGGTTTTTACCCATACCCATACCCGTACCCATATAGCGGGTAAATACCCTACCCATTGTGAGTAAATTTTGCGGGTGCCCATCGGGTACTTTACCCATTGCCATCCCTACTCAATGGGGCCTATTTTTCATCCATTTTGGTCTCAAAATGCAC